ATGTATAAAGGTAGAAAATATGCGATTGCATATCTAATATTAATATATATACATATATACATATAGAAAATATGAAGAAAAGACATTTATGATGACATATTATTCCACCTTAAAACATGACATGGCACATAGACTATATAAGAAGCGCAATAATAATAAAAGAATTAACCAACAAGTAAAAAACATGAAAATGAAAAAGAAAAGAACAGCAACCACATTACTACATTTAACTACAAAATATATATGTATGTATGTATAACTAACCAACCAACAGTAACATATCGCGAAGGTCGACAACCCCTAACTGTTATTTTATTTTATTTATTTTTTCTTATATTACACACATAAATTATTTCATTTCTCTTTTTTTTGTTCTTCTTATTATCTCCTTTTTGTATATACCTTTCGGGAAGCATAATAGCAACATAATAATTTCCAACTAACTGATTTTACCTTTAGTTGTACACTGTATATAAATTTTTATATTATGCTATATTCGTTTTTTTTTTGTATAATTGAAATGTTATTTCTTAATAAATATTGTTTGTCCGTCAATTTTATGCATAAAACTTTCAAGAATTCCGAGATAGCTAGCTTATTATAATTATTTAAATTCTGATAGCCTAATTTTATGCAATTTTTAATTATAATAAAAATTATAATAAAAATTTATTGCAGCCAATTAGTTTATTATAAGAAAATGATGAATGAGTTATAAAATAAAATCAAATTGGACTAATAGAATGTTATATAATTCGAAAAATGCGATTAAAATATAACAGTAACAATTAAAATAAAATAAAATTTAAGATTTTACCAAGAACTTTTGCTCATCAGTCAAGATCCGATTAAAGAATTGAATGTGTTAAAATCTTGCCAAGAAATCGTACTCATCAGTCAGCATTCGAATAAAAAATTAAAAGTGTTAAATAAACTATAATATAATTTGACTAAAACCTTAAACTTTCAAATGTTGAAATTCAATTTGTATTCCAATATTATGGAAAGCTTAATTATTATTCGGCTCACTCTTGAAACAATATTTGAGATTATTCCTTACAAAATTTTCAATTGCAGCTTCTTACTTATCAAAAAAATCATACTAATTCGTGTATATTGAGGTGTTGACAATCAAAAATTATTTAATTCAATAAAATGTACAAAATTCTAGATCTAATTCTAGTATATTGAAAACTCAATAAAAATTTCTTAAATATTCTCAATAAGCAAAGCAATTCTATTTACTTAGTCATTTTTCAATTCCTACCTCTACCTATATTTATTTCAAGCACAAAAGGAAAAAAATTAAAGTATAGAAAAAAATAAAAGAAAAACAAAAACAGCAACCCAAGAAATAGTCATTTAAAACAAGAATAAAAAGAAGAAGACAAAAATACAAGAATATCAAAAATTAAAAAACAAAATCCGTCTAGGTGAAAAGGCTTCTGATTTGAAGGGAATCAAGAATTAGGAAAGATAAAAATAAGAACAGTAAAAATAAAAAATCAAGAAAATAAATAAATAACACTGTGAAGACAAGCTACATATATAGAGCTATTCGAATGTGATGATGAGAAAAAAGCATCAAGGCATTTCATGTTTTCATTATGGACAGTTTCAAGTTAACGATAATCTTCCGCTTTTACTATTTTAAAATGAAAATGTAAAAGAAGAAATCAAGAAAAATAAAATGGAAAAAATAAAATAACTTTTGACACGTAGGCTAAACTAACAGTCAATATTAAAAAACGTACAGAAAAACGTAAGCTAATGGAGAAATTTTAATCACAATTGAAAAGAATGCAATATAATTGAAAAAATTTTATTAAAATTTTTAACAAATTTTTATTGCTTTGAAATTTTTATATACGGAATTAAAATTTACAAAATTAGTTTTAAACTTATTAGTGAATTTGATTACTAATTTAATTTTTTTTTACTATACCTGCTTCCATAACAGCATGGAACTGCCTAATTAACGGCAAACTATACAGAAATCTGAGATTGTAACAAGAGCTTGTACAAATTGATGAATGGTTTGTTTGATACTAGAACAAAATATGGTTATATTGTAATCAACAGGATGTTATAATCGCCTTTAAAAGGTATTTGAATCTAAATCTGAACGCAAGAACGCTGCATTGCCAAATATAAACAAAATTTTTCTTTACATTTCGGTATAAATGTTTTGATTTCTGGACGCTGCTATTTCTAGATAGTTTTTATAAAATTCACTATCCTTATAATTGGCAGCCAATTATCTATCAGTTCTCTTGTAATGCAATTCTTATAAAAAATCTCACAAATAGTACTTTGTAAATTTGAATATTAATTAATCCATAATGGTATAGCTGCTAAATCCCACACCGCCAAAATTTTATAAAATTGCATCCGGAATTTCTTTCAATACAAGATCTGTTTTTTCTGTGCATTTCAAAAAACATAAAATAAATAAAAATAATTTTATAAGATTAAGGGTGAAGTGCTTGACGATGTAATTTGTTTTTTTAAGAAACGATAGACAGGGTGATTTAGTAATCAGTATACTAATCAGTAGGGCATCGAAAATGGGTAAAGTTTGATTTTTTTCTAAAATTAGAATGTTTGATATTCCGAAAATATACAAAAAGAAAAACAAAATCAAATAGTAAATTACATTAATGCCTTCAACTAGTTCTTTCAAAAACTATATTCGTTTAAAGGTTTTATTTTTTATTTCGTGTCCGAAAGAGAAGTTATAAGCAAAACAAGAAACATGGGCAAGTATAGAAATTTCCTAAATTTTCTTTCAAATGGTTTTGTACCTCAATAAACGTTAAGATTTTTCACCTAGCTTCAAACAAAAATTTTACCCATTTTTTGATGGTATTTCTTGAGGTACAAATTATTAAATCACCTTATAGAACATGCTCCATTCAGGTAAATTTCAAAAACAATGATGAGCTGTGTTGTATAATGAGATTATTATTACGCCTTTGTTGAGAACTGAATTTTTAAATTTATCGAGATCTTCATTACAATCTTAAGAATCTAAGGAAATCGAATTCAAACAAAATTTATTTTAATAGATTAATTAAAAAGCAAGAATAAAGATCAAATTATTAAAGTTTATTTATATCAAGTATTCCAATCTTTTTCTATCAGTACCCCAAGAAGAGATTTAAATTTGTAAACAAATAATTGGTTTGAACTTTCTAATATAACAAAAATGAAGTGTTGCGATTCCAATAATTATAAAATTCGTGTTTTATTTTTAAAAATGTTTATTCCTTAAGAAATAATATAGAATTCTAAAAGAATACGTCTTGCCTTGTTAGAGCTCTAAAACAGCTTATTAATTTATTATTTCCTTTATTACATTGTATTATACTTAAACAAAATTTTCAATTCTCATGATTCTTGGTCAATTAAAAGGGAATTTGCTAGAATATTTAAATACAAAATTACACTTAATTGCATGTTATATACATATATATATATATAAGTATATATATATTAGCATACATAAAAATTAAATAGTGTGACTAGAATTAAAATTGAAAAATAAAAAATTGAAAAGTCTAAGCTTAACTTCATTGTATTGACCTAGAAAGCGCGAATACTAAAATAACTTTCAATAGTACTTATGTATTTGAATAGTTGTTATTTCTTTAGTAATAAACACATATACCACTTATATACATATATATATATTTACAACATAATTTTGTATATATATATATATGTGTATACAAACATTTATTTCTATTCCATTCTCGATTATTCTATCTATCTACTATATTTTCATTTTTTAATATTTTATTATTCTTGTATAGGTAAACATAAGGAAAATATGAGTTAAATAAAAAAATAATAATAAAAAAATTTTTGTTATGGAAAACTGAAAACGAATATTTACTGTCTTATTTGAATAGTAAACGAAATTAGTAAATAATATAATCAAATAGAAGGGATAGAAAAGTACCTACATTAATTTTAACTATAGTTATCATATGGCCCTTACAAGTTTACAAACGGTAAAAGTTGAAAGTTACATAAATTTTTTAAAACAATTACTAATTTAGTTATTAAGTGTAAAGCATTAGAACTGAAATAATATAGAGAATATTCAGATTGCATAGTATTTAAAAATTTAATATTTTTCCTAAACTCTTATTATTTTTACAAATTTAAAAAAAAGTCTGATGTGGTTAGCATATAACTAACCGCAATAGCACTTAATAAAGTTCTATTTTGTGTCACATGAATTTCCGTAGACAGACCGACAGACCAATTCCTATGGAGAGACCAATTCCCGTTCTCATTGAAAGCTTGTCCTCCCTAATTGTATGCAATTCGGCCGGTAATAAATTATTAAAGAAAGTTATACTTCGAAATACAAATTCAAAATTTTTAAAATTGCATATATAAGGGCGTAATATGTTATATGAAACAATACCCATTCAATTTATATGTATATATATCGCAATATCCGCTATTAATTTTTGTAGGTGTCAATAATTATACCAGAAATTTTCAAAGCCTGAATAATTGTACAAATTACGCACGTAAGGTAATATAAGACTTGAATTAAATTCAAGTGTTATATTAGTATATAAAAATCTTTTGAAAATCATTTTTCAAATATATTTTACAAAATTTATACAAAATTCTTAAGTTGTTATTATTTTTATACTCCAGACTTAAATTGTTAGTAAAGTATGCATTTACAGATCATGGATTCGATTAACTATATCTTTGTTATATTACAATATTCATACCTTTATACTAGAATACAAGTCTACAAAGTATCATTTGAAATCTTCCCATAAATACAATTTTATATGCATACATTTACATTGATAGAAACCTTTAAAATAAGCCTATACATACGATTAAAACTATATTCATTATGTAGAGTAAAAAATATATTTAAAATTATATACATTATTGTTTTACCTCTCCGGGTTTTAAGAAATAACGTTACTATTCAACATGAAAATTCAGCCTAATATCTAGAAATGACACTAGATGCGAAATTGAGATGGAAGGAGCATGTCAAGAAAAAGAAGACTGAACTGGAACTGAAGTATGCAGAGCTAAATTAGCAAATTGTCCGTAGTTCTTCGCTCTCCACGGATAGTAAAATTTTGATCTACAATCAAATATGGGCTTAAGATATTCAGATATGTGGTTGTGCAAAGCAACTTCATATTCGAACGTTTCAAAATAATAAGTACTACGGAATATTGTCGTCGCCCCCCCCTGATACGTTCATAATACTGATATTTATAGGGATCTCAAGATTCCTTTCATTACAGACGAAATAAGGAAAAGAGCTGCACGCCAAAAAATTCGTCTTTCCCAATATGCTAACGAAGAGTTGGACCGTTTAGCTGACAATCAAAATTTTGTTAGACGACTCAAACGAACGAAACCCTTTGAACTGTGTTAGAATAACATCTATTACTTATCAAATATTCAAAAAGGAATCTCGGTAGATCATAGAGTTCTTTAAAAAAAAACTAAATTTTTTAGCTACATTTACATTAATGGTTAGTCTAATGATTAGTCTTAATTTAAACAACGATCGAAGGTTTTAGTGCTACGTGCACAGTATTTCAACCCGCACCCCTGCAAGCGGCCACTGAATTCTCTGTCGATGATTTTCTCCGTTCGAAAAACAAAAAAAAAATATTGTTTTATTTTTTTTTTTTTAAAGGTTTTCCGTTTCATATTATAATAACCGGAATTATAAGAAAAAAAAAACGACCTTAAAAATTTTCATATTTCAATAACTACTATACATACATATATTAAGTTATAAATTCATCAATAACTATACTACCTGTCTGTATGTATGTATGTAGTTAAAATTAAAAAATCATATTGTAATAAAATTAATATCAAAGCCGTTTATTAAGAGTACTCATAACACAGCACAAAATTTTTAATTTTATTTTAAAAGCCAATAAGAATTTTATTTAATTTTTACCGCTTAAATAAAATAATGAATAAAAAAAATTTTAATATCATCAGCTGACAATCATTTATATTACTGTAATATGAAAATTGAGAGAAAGAGAGAGTATATATAGAATGATAAATGATTATTTTAAATTTTCTCTCAAAATATAATACTTACGTAAAATACTCTTCTACTAAAATCTATGTGTAATAAATATCACATATACACTTACATACATACATACATGTAACGCTTTTGTTCTTTTTTATATTTTTTTATTTTTCTTTAATTCTTTTTCAGTGAATTTTCAGTGCCAACATTAAACATGTTATCATTTTTCGGGATCACTAAAGCATTAATCGAAATTGAATAATGATAGAAATTAGCAAGCAATTTGTTCACGATACTCAATATCATATTATATGCGACATAATATACGACATACGATACGAGTAGCATATACTCGTATATACGTAGAAATGTATAGTGGTTATTAAAATTTGCCTTCTTCTTTATTCATTTTCTTTTCTCTAAGCATATAATATTATCCCTAGTGGAATTGAAATAAAAAATATTAAGTATATTATAAAAATGAATTTCCGTTTTTGATAATTAAAAGAATTTGATTAATATTATAGTTATTTAATTATTGAATTGTATGCTTTAGTAAAATAATTTAAATTTTTTGAATCAAAGATTTTTGAAAAACTAAATTTAAAATCGGTAAAAGCAATAAATCGGTATTAACCCTTTGTACTCGTATGTTACACTGGAGATGGCAATGCTAATTTACTACTCTACAATTCGTTTGTTATACTGGAGATGGCAATACTAATGTATATCTATAGACAATAGCACTAAATAACTGTAAAATTCATTTGCGTTATTCGAGATCTTATACAGTTACAAGTTTTAACATTGTATATTAATCATTAATGAAATAAATACAATATTCATTTAGCTAAAAAAAAAATTATAGGTTGACATGCAACAACCTTGAAAATAAATTGAATGCAAAGGGTTAAAGAATAAGAAGATGTAGTTTTATAATACAATATTTTAAAACTTTGGAACATTGTAATAAACATCTATAACATCTTTCGAAAAGAGTCTATTAGTTATTTTTTCTCCTTTGTTCACTCCTGGAAGGAGCATAGGGCTAGTGAATGTTATCATACAGGGCAGTCATGCTAGACAATAAATGACTAGCCTGCCATACTTGTTATTAAATATTAAATTGCAATATTGAATATAATTTTAGAATATGTTAGAAGACCGATGCCATAACCACTGCACCAATAGTCAGATTACTGATCTATTATATATACATATTTTATAAAATACAATAATTTTAAGGTACTAATATACATAAAATATAATTTTATTTTTACATATTATATAAAGTACTAATTTATGCTATAATTATAACTTTTCTTGTAAAACAAAATTATATTCTATACAATTCAAGAGAATTTTTGCGATCCCCTGTAAAAATGAAGTCAGTAACTTTTGATTTTATTTAAAATTTTAAAAATTAATTGTTTTGCCTTTATAAATTTTAGCTCAAAATTTTGATCAATGTGTACTTGAAAATTTATTCATAAACTCATACATACTCATAAGCTATACATGTGGATATGAATAAATATCCACATATGTAAAAACATTTTAAAATTGTAGAATTCTAAAAATAATATTCTAAGTTTCATTGCAAAAATTTTCATCTTACAATTTTGCTGTTTTGTAATCAATAATAATTAACTATAATATTTCCAATTCTAATAATGTTCAATATATGATCCTTTGTGTAAAAAGTAACATTTTATATAACTGAAATATTCATGTTAAAATTGTTAAAAATATAATTAATTACAATTAATTGCTAAAAACAGAAATTATATTTTAATCTTAGCTTAATTGCATCAGAATAAATTAGATGTACTTTCATAGAACAATAAAACATTAATTGAACAAAACAAAAAAAAATGCATACTTTTAGGAGCATGAAAAAATTAAAGTATGCATACACTAATTATTTTTTAAGAAATAAATTCAATATTATAATTTTTCCAAATTGCGAAAAAAAAATTTAATTAAAACATTTTAATATTGCAAAAAATATATTAAACAATAAAATTTTAATATTTAAAAAGTTAACAAATAAAAATAAGAAATTAAAAACAAAAATTTGCAAGTATGTAGCTAGATTGATGAAAATTTATAATTAAAATTGCATATCACATGGCGTCTAGTGTAATTATTTCTTGACAAGAATACGAAACCTCCAATGGCCAAGAGTAAATATAATGTTATGAAAATTTTTAAAGAAATTTAAATGAATTATTTTGTTAACAAAACAAGGAAGTTAACGAGTAAAAAAGTCAAAACAAATTGTAACGAATCAATATGAATACCTGATACGAAAATTAGGATTCGAATTAATTCGAGTCAAATGAAGAAATTAATTGAAAAGTAATATTAATAATTTTACGTAATCATTTCCGAATAAAATTCAAAAACTATTCTTAAATTGAATGTAGCAATTTTTGTCTATACTAATCGTCCCCTTTTTTCAGTAACAAATATAATATTATGAAAAATATATCAATTTTTTTTCAAACACATTGTACTTAAATTTTTATTAAGTATATAAACTTCACGAAATCAAAATTAAAATGTATAGCTCAGTTGGATTTTAATTTCTAACAATCAGCTGATTTTTTATTCCATTCGTTTATAAAGCAATGCAGCATTCTCAGTCACATTAAATAAAAATTTACAAAAACAAATCCCATATAAATATATCAATTGCAATTCCCAATAACTTTGCACATTCAAACAAATGGAATAATTGTCAAATAATTCGATTAATAAAAAATAATAAGGCCCCAGCGAAATTTTTACATTAACTTGATTAAAGAATAAATTCTTATCTTTTGACAACTTCAATGTATTGTGTTTCAACTTCAATTTAATACAATTTATTTAATGCAATAAGTGTTTTAAAATTTAAGTCTATCTCATGAATGGAGCTTTTGCAATTATATTTTTTAAAGATGCACTATATATGACAAAAAAAAATCCACTAATCCTAGATTTTTCTGAGATATTAGAATCTGACTCTATAAAACTTCAAAATTCAATATATTTTGTACTCGTATATACTGATAAAATTGTTCAAGGTTTTGAAATAAAAAAATGTTCAAGGTTCAAGGAACTCGGCTGTATATTAAAAGGAATAAAATCTATCTAATTTCATCATGTATAAGAATATTTTGTTTGAAGCGTGTATGTTAATTTTTGTTATACATAATTTTTTATTCTTAAATTTTCCTTTTATTTATTTTTTTTCTTCTTTAATTTTTTTATTTCATAGGAATCACAGAAATAATTAAAAGCAAAATAAGGAATTTTAAATAAAAATTTTCCATGTATGGCGATATTTCAAATGTTTGTACATATATATATGAAATTTCTGAAATAATAATAAAATTAACAAATAAACAAAAGAATAACAAAAACAACAAAAGAAAAAAAACAAATTCTATATTACCTTCCTTTCTCTCTAAGAGGTCAAGTGGAAAGACCAATGAACCTTGGATTAAAATCATCGTCATCCTATCATCAACATCATCAAATTATAATGATTGCCCAACATCAAAGCAATATTATATGAAAAATTAAACATATATGAAAATACATAAGGATAAATATACATACATACATATATATATATTTCCCCGTCATAACCATCATAACCATCATAACCATTATCTTATTCGTATAAGTGGTATGGCCATGGATGTTATACAAAATAATTTTACAAATTCATAATGTTATAAATGTAAATGAAAAAAAAAATAAGAATAAAATAAAGAATTCTGTAAAATACAAAAAAAAAATAAAAAATCCGGAAAGAAAGTTACACACATGCAAACATACAAATGTCAAAATAAATTTTTGTAAACGTCACTGTTGAAAATAAAGATACAACAAAAAAATTTTCTTTTAAATACCCTATAATAATTTTAGACCCTATAATAATTATGTATGCAGTTATGTATATGTGAATATATTTTTATTTGCATATTAATATTTACATAATTAGGTAGGTATGTAGGTATGCATAAATGTATTTATGTAAAATTCTCTTTGCCGTTTTTGTTTTTTTTTTTTATTTTATATTAAGTATAACAAAACAAACAATGCGATTAATTATTTTTTACTATTATTTTGAATACTTTATTAAATAATTAATTAAATTTAATTAAATAAAGGTTTACATAACATTGAACACATAAAAATTAAATTTAAATATATTTATAAATGTGGATGAATAATTTTTATTAATTTTATATGTGGATAGGGTGATCATATCAGTTACAGTGAGTTCTAGTAAAGTTGGATCAAACCAATGGTTTGTAGTGTAGTACTTTTACTCTAAATAGATTTAGTTTAATACTTTTATCAGTACTAAAATTACTTTCATTCATATAGGAATATATTTCAAAAATTCCATACATTTAGGATGAACAATTTATGCAGTCTTTGAACTAAAGCACAATTAATTTTAAAGAGGTATTACAAGTGTTAACATAATGCTCGATTTTAAGGATTAACTGTGTGAGTTTAGAAAAATAATTATATTTTTTAATGGCATAGAATTTACCGTTAGCTGTTTATGTTTATATAAATTTGAAAAAAATAGGTAAAAACTTTCTTCTACGAAAATAAGTTTGTAGTGAAAGATCTGTGTACAAACATAATATTTCAGCTTTCTGTCTTAAAGGGTGTAGAAGTTTTGTAAACATGTCCACGAATGGACAGAGTGAAACTAATAAGCACTTCTCTACCTAATCGGAACAAGCCGATTAAAATTAAATTTGGGACACGAACCGCATATTATTGTATAAAGTTAAAAATATTAATACCATTTGCTTACAATATATGCTTAAAGAACTTATTAAGAACATTTCCTACAGGCAGAGATTATGATGACAAAACTATAATTTATAAAATATATTATATATTTATAGGAATTAATTCATTCCGGTTTTACAAATTGTACCAATATATGTCTGCTTTAATAATTTTGACAATAAGAAACCTATTTCATATTATTATTAAATTAGTCGACTATTAAGAAAGTATTTTTGAACGCAGAACGTACAATGTAGCAAAAAAAGTTGAATTTTTAAATTGCACTATCTTTATAGGGAATCTAATTTTTATCTATAGGAAATTACATATTCCGTTATGATTATGGAATTGCAAAAAAAATTTACATTTCAAATTAAATAAAATTCAATATTTTATTTTAAGTATTTTAGTAAAGCAAAACAAATTAAATAAAAAAAATAATAGAATACAAAAATATTTTTTTTTTTAAATTCTGATTTTGACGAAAAATTCTTTGTACATACATCTATAACATCGTATGATTAAATTTTGACCTGATTTTACATTTTATACTGAGTTTACATTTTATACAATTAGTGTTAATCAAACTATTAAATTTCCGCATTAAATGCAAATTAAAATTATAAAATTATTTCAACACAGAAATATAATTCTGCTATGAAAATTAAAAAAATTATAAGGAAACGCAAAAAAAAAAAAATTTCAACTAACTACGTTGTGCTTGAATTTTACGAAAAAAATCTACTATAGCTGGTATTCCAGATTTATTAAAAAGGAGAAATTCGAATGTCATTAAAATCCGAATACTCCGAAATTCGCTTTATTTCAATTTACTTAATTCACAATAATAGAAAGGAATTTAATGAATGAATTTAGGAGTTCCAGAACTTAATTTTTTTTAATTATTTTGAAATTTTAATATTAATATTAAATATAGCATTTATAAATGAAATGATTTGCTCGTTTAATTAAAATTAAACAAATATAATTGAATAGATTGAATTTCGAAATCTCTTTTGGAAAAAAAAGTTTTCATAAACTAAAATGTTAATTATTTATTCTTTAAGTCATAACACATCTTTTCTAGAATATTACAAATAATTATTCAAAAATGCTGAAATTTCAGTATAACTGCTACCTTGTAAATTATTGGCATACTTTTTTTCAATTTAACAACATATTACATCAGTTTGAAAAAAATAATAAACAAAATAATAAACTACCGGAAAAATATGGACATCATTACCATTTTTCGACTTATTTTGGCCTTTCCCACATATAATATACATATATATATAAAAATATAAGTTATACCGTTGAGTTATTTTACACAATTTACTATTAAATTAATTAAAATTTTATTTACTAGTTAATAATTCAGCTTATGAATTATAATTGCTGAATTCTGTAAATCTGTTCAGTACTACTTCAATTATTACGTCGCAGAAATTAGTTATTTACTTTAGTAATAATATGTATGTATGTACTATATATTTATTTATGTGCACAAATAAATGTAATACATAAGTATGTGAAATTCTTTGAGTTGCACTTGAAATATTTTTTTAAAAATTTCTTGCATATTTTGCATATTTAATATTTTTTAGTAAAATTATAATGATATAATCAAGAATTTCCCTTGAACTTAAGGTTATAATTGTAAATTAAGCATTTTATATATAAACACAAATTACAGATTAAAAAAAACATAAATAATAATCTTTCTTATATTTTAATTCACATATAGAAGTTATTTAAGCGATTCTTAACGTTTTCTCGGCTATAAAATAAAAATAATTTTTGTTTTAAAATGAAATGTAAATGCACATATTTTAATATTTTAAAGTGAATTAAATTAAAAAAAGAAAATTTTTCTATTTATTTTTTAACAGACGAACGTGCAGCTTTTGTTTCAATTTTACTATTTTGTGTCATCGAATTTGTATCATCAGGACAAACTGAAGTCAATCAACAGAAATTAGGATTTAATAATAATCACAATATACTTACAACTATAAATAATCCTGATAATAATAAACTTGCTGAATATTATGATGCATTAGTTAAAAATAAACTAGATAATTTGGCAGCAAATTTAACAGAAAATGAATATCGAGAGATACAACGAATTTTTAGTCAGTTTCCAATTAATAATAATGCAAATTATGGAAATGATGATCTAAGACCATGTACATGTGGTGTATTTTTAAGTAATCAAATAAGAAAAAAACATGTATTAGATAATGATAGCCCAACTATAACACAAGAGATTGATAAAATATTTCCATGTACAAAAATGGGTGCAAGAAAATGTCAAAATGAATGTTTTCAATTGGTTAGTAAATATTTTCATTACATGTACTAATTTGATGAATCTAATTATAAGAATCTACATTAATTAAAAAATTTTTAAAACCGATTTGATGTGTAAATAACGTGACTTAAAAATTACATTGATACGGTATTGCTCAACTCAACTCAGCAACTACAGCTTACAAGCTGAATTGTATTGTATTAGAATTGAAGTCTGAGATACTTATTAGGTTAAAAAAAAATTCACCTTCAAATCAAAATTTCAATTCTTCCTGCTAGATTCTTATGCACCGGACACGTTTAAAATTTTATTTAAAAAAAAAAAAACAAAACACAATTAATTATTCCACCATTTCTTTTTTAGTTGTTACAATATCTTCCACAATCAGCAGAAATCATATGCGCTTTAGTTGGTCAAGACATTCATAAGATGAGAGCACATTTATTTGTACAAAACTGTGATTCACAATGGCATAATTCAAATCTATCAGCAGGTCGAGAATATTGTTGTAAAGGTGGTTTACCATATCATTGTCCTTTATTTTAAACACCCACTAAAAATACTGTTTTTATAAATTTTTATAATAAAAAATTTTTGTTAATAAAATAATAAAAAAAATATTTATATAAAATATTAATATGTATTAACATTTATGTATATACATAGAACGAATTTTGAGGTTAATTTAGGAAAAATCTGAAGTGTCAAATATTGTCAATACTCATTGGCATAATATTTACATCTTTTTATAAGCAAGGAAGGGGTTTTTAGTAATAAATAGCAAAATAGGAAAGCAAAATAGGAAATTTTATTCACTTTGTTTTTGAAATTGAGACGTTCAGTCGATAATTTGAAAAAAAAAAAAAAAAATCCAATTAGATAAATGAGTAATCTTATTGGAAAAGTGAAACATCCATTAGAAAATACTAAGAATTCTGATTTGAAAGCGAATAAAAAGTGAGTAAAAAAGTGGGATACACGATCATTTGTTTCTATAACAGCATCTCAAAGATTTTCATGGCATTTATGAATCTAAAGAGTGGCAACCCTATCTACCCAGAAGGTTTAACCATTGATCAGATTATTTATATTATCATTGAATACACAGTAATATTCTATAAGTTTCTTTAATTTTTTCTTTACTTTTAAAAATTTATAAAACTTTATGTCTAAAACAAAAAATGACATAAGTATTCACTTTTTCAATATTTCAAAAAATTATAAAATTTATTTTTGATTCAATCATACATTTTGAAATAAATGACAACAAATAATTGAACAAAGCTTTCATGTCTTATTTAATGTATACGTACTTAATATCATGACATCTTGTGGCCGATACTATTACTTTTATAATATTAATTGGCAGCTGTCATATTGTTTACGATTGGTAATACTGCTTCGAAAAGGGATTTTTTTATGCAAAGTACCAGAGAATTTAGCCCAAGATAAGAGCATAAAGTAGAATTTAGTTCAAAATATTTTTTTTTTTTTAAATAAATTATTAATTGAAATTAATTAATAAAATTATAATAAAGAAAATTAAAATGTTAAATATATTAGTATTAGTTTTATTTTCAATGAAAGAAATTAAAGGTGAATATATTTTATAAGGATGAAAAAGAAGTTAAAAAAAAAAAAATTTTTTATGTTGTGTCCTAGTTTAATTCATCTGCACAATTTGATTGAAAAGATGAAAAATTGTGTTAAGTGTTTCCAATCTTTGAATTTATGCTATTCATTTTTTTTTATTTTAGATGGGTTAGCAGCTGGTACTAGTTTATTAAGCACTCTAGATTCTCATTGTACGGATTATAGTGGACGAATTTATGAACATGGAATGCATTATATGCCAAAGAGTAAGTTCTTTTCAATTTTCCTTTTTATTTTTTTGGGTAATGTCAAATAGGTATACCTACTTAAATATATTTTTATCACCTCCACCCACTTTGGTGGGTGTATATATACATATTATATGTTTGTAGTTATAAAAATGTAAAAGCCAGGTGATACAATAATAATATGAACATGAATTGAGATAGTGAAAAAATTTTTTTTTAAAGTTTTATGAAAAATATATAAGAATCGCAGTTTAGTTTAGTGATTTGCATATCTTACTACATAATAAAAAATTCAATATCTCTAGGTACATACACAGAAAACTAAATGTTATATGGAAGACAATTTAAAATTTTTCTATTTGTTCATTTAAATTCATTAAAAAATATTTTTATAAAATCCACTAATCACTGACATTCTCAATTTAATTGATTACTTAAAAAAAATTTTCTTTCTTAATTGGAAGAATATGTTTCATAAAAGCTTTTCATTAAATAATAAAAAATTAAAATCTATGTAACTATGTATATGTAGGTACCTAGCTGGATGCAATATTCATTGCCACACTTTAATTATATTCTATTCAATGTGAAGAGCTCAATTAAAATTACAAACAGTAAATATAAATGAAATTTTAATATCGTTTCTTTTTATTAAGATATGTGCAATTTGTGCATTTGTGATAATGGGGAACCGAAAGGTTGCAAGATGGTACTATGTACTGCGCCAAGTGAATGTAAATCTTTTCAACTTGGCAATAATTGCTGCGAATACGTTTGTCTTGATGATACTTTGGCTGAAAGGACAACAGATTTCGGTATATGACTAGTAGCAAGTGGCATAACTGCCACTTTGTCTTTATCACTCCTGTTTTTCTTAGTAAATCGTTTAAGGCAACGAAAAATTCGGGGAAGAGAAAACCGACAAACGACATCAGATGAAAGAAGTATCGTTGGAAGTATAGGGTAAATTCTTTTGATTTATTAAAAATTGTAGTAAAGAGTTTTTATGGTTTGACTTTAATTAATGTTAAAATTGATTTAGATATATAACCGGTAATATGGGTTACATGGAAGGAAATATAAATGGTATGGATTATACGTATGGAAATTCGTCACATTATCCCTTATGGAAACCACCTAGTGGATATTTTCCAAGAGGTGAAGCTCCACCTCCTTATGAAGAAGCAGTAGCATTGTCACAAGCGGAAGCTTTGAGTGCAGCACAATGCACGGTCAGCGTAGCAACTACAACACATCGATCCTTACCAATTAGCACACTAAATGTAGCTGAAGGCGAAATACATCAACCACAAAATCCTCAGCAACAAAATATCACGACTAGCACTACAAATTTAATTAATATTAATATCAATAGTGGAGGAAATGTTACAACTGTGGCTACAGGCGAAAGTCATCAACCACCTTACAGGTATTCATAAAATTTTAGAATATTTTTTTTTGTTTAAACTGATAGAAATTTCGAGAAATTGTATTTTTTATTAACTACGAACTTATTTAAGTTTGTTTTAAACTTTGTTTTCATTTTTATTTCAAGCTTTTATTTTATTTTTTTTATATATTTTTCTTTCCTTTTATTTTTGTTTCTATTTTTTTTTAGCTGACAAAAAATTTTGTGTGAGTGTTTGTTTAAGAAATTTTTATTTTTGTAATTATTATTATAAGTACGTATGTATATAAGCATTATTATTTTACATTGTGTTTAAATATCATTAAAACCAAAAAATAAAATGAAATAGTTGCATAACGCAATCCTTAAGCCAACAACCACGTTCAACACAAACTCAATCGACTTGTTCATCATCTTCTAGCAGTATTGGTGAGCCATCCAACTTACATTTACAACAACATCATCCAATTCAACGTAATAACCAGATAATGCCTGGAAGTAATTCGGTTTGTGTTCAAGCATCAGGACCCCTCCAAGCTGTCGTGCAACCCTCTCAAACAGCAGCTCATCACAATTCTACTTTGCAAACCTTGCAACCTTATACGTCCTATCAAACCCAAATTCAGCCAACCGAACCACAAATTCAACAACATCAAACGCAACAAAGCTCCATCAATACAATTGCGGCAAGTTCAACTTTAATTGGAGGAAATAATACATTAGGCCAACATCAATCAGTACAACCGGTACCACAGCATCAAATTGCTCAAATTCAAACAATTGAATGTTCTTACAAAAACTGTACATTAAATAATGCGTCTTCAACGTCTTCAACATCGAAAATTTTAAGTTCTTCAAAGTCACATCGAATAACTGCCCCCGATAATATTAGTCAATATAACGCTGCTGTGGCAGCAGCTGCAGCAGCTACCGAAGCTTCTTCACAAGTAACTGGTGGAGCAAGCAATAACACCACCAATTCGAATCAAAATAAATATACAACAATTTTGCCGCCACCATTGTTCGATGAAGGGGCTACTACAAATAATTTAAATATAGATCAACAACAAAATTTAATTGCTAATGATAGCAATGGAGTTTGCAACGCAAATAATGTATCATCTGGAGCCAATTTAAAAACTCCGTCATCTTCGAGACGCTATCATCGTACCATACCGCGCCATTTGACTGCTATAGATCCCTTAATCTCAGCCGTTAATATATCTGGATCGGGGACTCTTCCAGCAGGATCGACAACATCGGGTATTAAATATGCTTCAGAAAACGGAAGCAACATTCAAGTTTCAAAAAATGTTTTAAATTCAACATCGAATACAACAGGTTCTTCTAATTCAGAGAAAAATTTATCATCAAACAATAAGAAGCCTACATGTCAGTGCCCAGTTCAACATGTTCCAATGTCTTATATGGGAACCAATCACATTTCTAATCATGCTCAGAACAGTAATATATTCTTATCAACTATAACCAATAAATTAGCTAGAAACAGTAGCGGTTGTAATAATAATAGCAATTCTAATAGTTCAAATTTTAAAACAAAGTCACCATGTGGATCAAAATCGTTATCTCAATCAAAGGATTCATTAAATGAGTCTTCACGTAGTAGCACTTTGAAAAGGTCTGGTCATTCTTCTAACAGCCATCATTCAAGCAACCATCACGGAAATTCAAATAGTTCGGGCTGGTTAGTATAACTCTGCGATAAAAACGAAAAATAAATTGACAAAATATTAAATTCATAATTTTTAGCTCACCATCAACTCCAAGTAATACGAAGATCTCAACAATTTCGAAACATGTAGGAGAGATACATTCATCTGCTAATAATCAAGTAATGTTGAAGGCAACCCCAGTTTTGAAGCAAAAGCACAGTCCAGGAAACAGTATACAGCACCAACAAATTTCGCATAATTCGTCAGTTAATATTTTACGAAATGGTGATGGTGGTGATTTATATAATTCGTCTTCATTTCCAATCCAGTTAATGGAATCGCTTTCCAAAATATCAACAGAAAGCAATCCAGTTTTACCACCGAAAATGTATAAAACGTCCCAATCAAATTGCTCAAAATCGCAACATGTTTATACAGCTGTTTCAAAAATTCACACTATTTCAAAACCAAATGACAACAGCATTATAACAAGTGCTCATAATCATCATCATTCTCATCATTATCATTCTGGACCACAACGAAGTTCTTCAACGTCACGTTGTACTGCCAATGGACTTTTGGCAAGTTCAAATTCTTCAAATTCTTATACCAAATCATTATCTCGTAAAGATAATGAATTAAAATCGATTACTCCTGCTTTAACTTTACCCGCATCAAATTGTATAATCAATTTAAATAATGAAAATAAAAGTCAAAGTTTAGGTAAAATAAACTCGTCAACATTCTATCCAATGCAAAACAGTCATGTAACATATACATTACCTAAACATCATCCAAATGGTAAACAATCTTTAAATAGCACAATAGCTAGTGTTGTCAGTAAAGTACCATCAGTCATAAGTATCCCTTCGACCTCAATGATAGCATTAGAGAATGCAACCTTATCGCTAGTTGCGGCTGCTGCTAATATAAGTGAAAGAGAAATGTCATCATCAAAAGCAGAACACATACAACCCACCAGTGATTGTAAACGCTCAACGTTGCCAAAGGTTATTAAAAACCAACAACAACATCATAATGATAAAACTCCCACCCATTCAGATTTTAAAAATAATGAAAATGATAAACCATTACCAGTTTGTACAACTTCAAAAAACTGCTCAAATCCCAAAGAACATTTTTTGCCGAATGATACTAGTTTAGATGATGATTATTTAAGTGAATGTGAAAATTGTAAAACTGCACACAGTTCGAAATATTATTTAAATGACGAAGAAACTGAAGAGCCACCTCAGGAAACAATGACATTACAACGCAATAAAGATCAAGATAAAGAAGATGAACAGGCTTACTATAGAACTTCGTTAACTTTACCAACAAATACTAAAAAAACAACGTAAGTTTACAGTGTTTTTACAATAGTTATACAGATATTTTGTTTGTTATTAACTATTTTTTTTTTAGAAATATAAAAAACAATCGGGAAACATGGTTTTCATCAATACCAGCTAGCTCATCATCAGATGAAGAAATAAACGAATGAGATTTATCTCATCTTCTTTAAGGAAGATGAACTATTTCTAAAATGTGCATTCAACTCAAGCTACAAACAAAATTATAAGTAAAATTAATTAAAAAGAAAAAAAAAAGAAAAAACGAAAAAAAAAATTATTTTTAAATAAAATATTTAGGAAAAATTTTATTGAAATTACTCGGTAAGTATATAAAATTGAATTCCAAAAAAAAAAAGTCGTACCTTAAAAATAAAAAAAAAATAAAAGGAAATAACAAATTTATTAAAATTTAATTAGGAAAACATTATAAGTAAAAGATAAATTTTTTATCTGTGTTAAAATTAAAAACAAAAATAAAAGAAGAAATAACATGCTCTCACAAAATCATTAATTCAAAGAAAAAAACAAATATTTAATAATATTAAAGATTTCATTTTTTCATAAAATTAATGCAATCCTTGGTCCAAATTAGAGACATTGAAAATATAAATAGAAAATTATTAAAAGTAAATTAAAACAAAACAAAAAAAAAATAAAAAAAAAAAATAAAGATGGTATAAATGTTGAATTTCATGTTTCATAAGTGTAATAAATAGGAATAATGCAAAAACGATAAACAAAAAAAAAAAATTTAAAAAAAAATCATATTATTACCTACGATATTCCAAAAATCCTTACCAAATCAAACCTTTTGCATTTATATATTTTAAATTTTCAATAAAATATACATAGTTTCGTATATGTTTGATATTATTAAATAATTACAACAGTGTTCAAAACAATTTTCACAATCATTTTATTATATTAAAGTTCTAAAATAGTTTAATAAAAAAAAAAAACATTTCTATAATTTTCTCAATTAAATAAAATAATTTTCAATTTGATAAAAATTACATTTGTCATAATTTGTAAAATATTGATGGAATATTTTGCTAATGAGAATAGAAGTTCAGCTAAAACAAAATATGTATGTAATTTTAAAATACATAAGCATACTCACATATTTAAAATAAAGACTCACAAAAAAACGTCACTTCAATTATTTTTAAAGGAGGGTACCATTTTAAAACAACTCAATTCTATAATTAATTACTTATTCGGAAAATTTACTTGAAATATTATACAAATTTTTAAAATTGATAAAATATATTTCAATATATTTAAATAACGCAATTACAACCATTTGAAGTGAAAAATTTTTAAAATATAAAGAAAACAATCATAAAAATGAGCTCAAAAACTATTTCTGATAAACATAAATTCCCCAATTTATTTGCCCAACCGATTTTTTGAAATTAAATTTGAAATATCTTTAATTAGTAACAAAAAATGTATTTTAATGTAAATTTCATTAGTTTAACAAATTAAACACGTACCCTAATTTCGAAAATTACACAAAACAAAAAAAGTTAAATTTAAATGATTAAATTTTTGAAATTTAAAATTTAGTATGTTGTGTAGTAAAGAAATACTCAATACATATTTTTAATTATGTTTAAATATAATATTGTCCAAGAAAAATTTTCAATATTTGATAAATAAATTTGAAACAAAGTTATTTGTTCATTCATTTGTAACATAAAGTTAAAAAAACATTTGAAATTTTAAGTAAAAGAATTGTATAGTAAAAATATATTATTGAGAAAAAAAATAGATTTATTTTTAATATCGTAAAGGAATTATGTTAAATTAAATATTTATAAATTTAACAGTGAATAACTTTCAAAACTTCTAACATCTTTTGAAAATATTTTATAAGAACGCTAACGCATTAATTACTTCAATTAGTTCCGTAATTTAATACTCAATTTATAACAAAAATCGATAATTATTTAAATCAAAATATAAATTTGTTTATAATTAAGAATAATGGCCGAAAAATTGTTTTAACATTCAACTAAATTAATAAAATTAATAGGAATCATTTACATAAATTGAAAACACATAATATATTAAATAATTAAGATTTTATGTTTTATTGTTGATTAAAATTTGGATTCATTTTAATTTAATACTGTAACAGCTATTAGAAAGTTTTTTTCAATTATATACTCAAATAATATTAAGAGGTCTCATATTTTGTTACAAAAGAAAAATAAACATTCATTTCTTTACATAATAATGTATAAATTATACAAAGTATTCGCGTTTACTAGAATCAAATTAATTAAAAACAAAAAAAAAAAAAAAGGAAAATAAGTCTTAGTAAAATAAAGTAAAATATTAGATCGCTTCAACCAGCTATATATTATATATTTAATATGTATATATATATAAATATATATTGGATATATTAATTAGTAAATAAATTTTGTTTCTATTAAAAACTCAAAAGTAAAACAAAAATCTATGCCACATAAAAACCATACGATATATTTTCTAAATTTAAATGATATAATAAAAATAAAACTGAAATATTTAATATAAAAAACAAAAAATCATTAAATTTGTACAAAAATAACGTAGCAATATTTAGAATTTACCACCAAATTCATTCAAATAATACTAATACTTATTTTATTAATGCCAATAATTTAGAAATAAAAAATCGTCTCAAAAAATATTTCGAAGCATAAACATAAAGAGTATCTAAAAATTCAAGAAAGCCAAAATTAATTTATTGTTGAACTTAAATAAAGGATAAAATATTTATTTAAATTAAAGTAATTGAAGAAAAAATTATACTGGACAATTATTTTGAATAGATAATACAAGCAATGTAAAAAGAAAATCAAAATTCGACAAAGTAAAAATCAAAGCCAAACGATTTATTTCGATTTAATTCCCAATAATTTGAATTACCAATAAAAAATTTTAAAAAATTATTATTTTAATTGTTTATCAATTTACAAATTAATATGAAAATAATTTTATGTTTCTAATACGTAAAATGATAAATACATAAAGCCCATGCTCACTTAGCGTAATATTAATTTTTATTCAATTTCCCTATGTAATAATTATTTTATATTATCAATTACTTTTTATATTTTTTAAATTTTTTTTTTAAAATCAAGTGAAAAATTGAGATAAGTTCAAATAAAAATATACAACAAAATATTTAAAATTAAAATAATTTTATGTAATTTTAATAAAAATTAAACAATTCTCATAATATGATCATTATTATTATAAGTATACATTATCTTACCTTAATTTTTCTCAAAAAAATAATATTAATTTTATTTTGTAATATAATTTAAATGACTGATCAAACTTTTAACATACAAAAATTAGTTAATATACATTTACACGTAAACATATTAGTATATGTATGAAATTTAAAATTAACTTTATTACTGCCCATATTTGAAACAAAAAAAAAAAATTAAAATATATAAATTTTAACTAGTTTTCTAGTTCAATACTAACTAGGTAAAAATAAAACAAAAAGGAAATAATGAAAGTTTAGTAAATTGTATCAAATATTATTAAGAATAACTGTTATACATTTTCTCTACCATAAACAATTTCATTGGTTGATTTGTTGTTCAATTAATTTATAAAATAAAATTTCTTAATTGTTATCCAACAATATTAAACATTAAATATTTTTTATTCAATTAAATTTACATTAAAAATAATTTATTAAAATTTATTTTAAATTATGCTATGACTGATTATGACAAGTAGAGCGTTTAAAAAGATAAAAACACTTTGTATTGATAATTTTGCTGTATATTTAAATAATCATAATATTTTTATTATAATTTTATATTACAAAGTTTCATGCAAACAAAAAATCTTTATTGTAAATTATACATTTAAAAAATATAAATATAATAATTTCATCTATTTTTTTTTTATTATAGATTTTAATTTTTAAAGAGCATAATTATAATATAAGTATTTTGAGTTATACGCACAATTACAAAACAAAAAATATAAAATGTATTATAATTTTTATGTACAATGTTATACCAAAAAAAAAAAAAAAAGAATTTTCCAAAAGCATATTTTATTTTTTATTTTATTTAAATACTCAATAATTTTTAAGATAATTTTTATTATTCAAATGCTCAATTCTTGTTGGTTTTTTTTTTGTTTTTTTTTTAAGACTAAGCAATATACATATTTAAAAAAATAATATGTTTAATACTGTCATACACAAACCTGAATCCACAAATATGAATGCATATATTTTTCAAAACATGTTAAATGAAACATTTTTTTTATTTTGAATGATTTTTATATTTAAGTTAATATAAAAGAATTATACTTTTATAATATTTTAAATTTTTTAATATTTTTTATTTACCAAAGGCAATTTTAATAAAAAATAAACTCATAATAAGCTATTTAATGAAATAATGGGTGCATTTGACACACTTCAACTCATTGAAGCTATTCAAACGATTTAAAAAATTTATTTAAAGTGCTTCTACAAAAAATAAAGTAAGTTTTCATTGCCAGTTGTTGCAGTGTTTAATTTAAGTTGAATTTATTTATAGCTTAAGAGAAAATCTTAATTTTTCAAAGTGAAAATCTATAAAAGGAAACAGAAGCAAAAAAAATTAATATTTCTTCTATGCGAATAAAGAAATAGAATGTGGTGAATATATGCCTTCTTACGGGCTTTAAGAGTAAGAATGAATTCATACACAAAATTTATAAAAAAAAAAAAACATATTATATGAAGTGTTAAAAAAAGCATTGGGCTTGTTTCAAAATTTAATTGATTGTACTCAAACGTTTCTTCTAAACTTCTTGTTTTAAATATCTCACACAAATTTACATGCCCAATCATTCGTGCAGTTCTAGACACTACAGTAGTCTAATATAATCGCATAAGTGTGTTATAAATGCACCCAATTTTTTTTTTACTCAGTGAATACTAAATACATCATTTTTTTTTTATTAACTTATTTCAAAAACTATTTATTTATTAAATATAATTAAAAATAAATTTATCCTATAAATCACATAGATATTATTACAAAAATAATAAAAAAAAAAGAGAAAAAAAAAAAAAACAATTTTTTTAATTACAGTATTATTGAGTGTTCAAAGTATTTAAGCTGAAAACAAAACAAAATTAATTAAATATATTTAAAAGAAAAAAAAATAATAAAAAAGAAGATTAACAAAAAACAGAAATTAATAAAAATTGAAAAATTTAAAATCAAATAAACAGACAAATGCATTTGAAATATACAATTATTATGTAGTGATTAACTGCATAAAAAACAATTATAAAAAAATCAAAAAAGAAGAAAATTAAATTAAAAGGAGAAAAAAAAAATAGTAAGTAATTAAGGAGAACAATTAAAAATATAAATAATAGTGTATATATATATATTTGTATATCAGTACAATCTGTAAACGTATTGAATTTGAAGGAAACTCTTCCAAAAAAAAAAAAAAAAAAAACAGAAAAAAGAAGGAATATACTCACTTTTTGCTAGAACCTAAATGAAAAATTGTTTTATAATGTATTTCTGGTTATATTGGCAAATTTCTTTTAATATTTCAATTGAATTTTGAATACTGTTTCTATTATTACGCTCTAAGAAAACGCTACAAGTTCAGTAATATTATTTGATTATTTGTTTGATTAATTATTATTTTAATATAATTGTAATTAATCTATTTTATTTTTAAAATTTGCCTTTTAAAACTATTCTTTTGCCCGTACAAAAATAAAAATCTTTGTATACACTGTCTAAAAAAAAGTAAATTACAAAATTAATAATGTCTAATAATAAGTTCAAGTTGACTTCATTCGATTCAATCGTAATCTTGGTGAAGGAAAATTTTTCTTAATAATTTCTCTATTAATTTCTAATTTAATTTGGCAAAATTTAAGTCCAAATATTCTTATTTATTTTTCATGTAATTAATACATTATAATTCAATTTTTAGAATATTACATTATTTATTTACGGAAGAATACATAATTTCAATAAAAATGAAAAGTTGAAATATTTACGAACACATTTTAGTGTACTTTTTAATGTTTGAAACAAAAATATTTGAATTATCGCAAGGCAAAACAAAAAAAAAAAACAAAACAAAATATTATATAATATTAAAGAAATAAAGTAAAAATATAAAATAGTTCAGGAAAACAACATGAGTTAAAAATTATTTAAATTGATTGAAGAATTATACAAATATATATATCTATATATATGTATATATATATTAATATAATATATTTTATTATATATGTATATAATAAAATCAAATTGTCTTTATTAAAGAAAAATAATTGTGTAAATTTTACATTAAGTCGTTTGTTTCTGATTTTTTTTTCCTTAAACTAAATAAACTTAATATAAGATAGTCTCTGCTTTGGTTAATATTTTTTATATAAAATTTATAAAATCAAAAGTGTTAAATTTGTTTCTTTTTTTTTCTTTTTTTAATTTTAAGCACTTTTTAAATATTTTAAATTAAAAGTTTACCTTCTTTTTATTTTTAAATTCGAATATTAAAATTATATTTTATTTTAAGGTTTTCGTATCAATATAATTGTATATTTATTTAATTTACTTATTAAATGGTTGATTTTTATTTTTGATTAAAAAGAGAAAACACAAAATTCTATTATATAGATGTAAATGGAGAATTAAAGAAAAAAAAAAATAAATAAAAATATTTAAAATTACAATTTTAGCTTATTTTTATTTTGTCAGTCTGCTGGTATTTTTAGCATTTTAAACAATTTAAAATGCAATTGAAGTTGAATTTTTTGCTCATAAATCAGATGAAAATTAGCGATTCCCTATAAAATTAGAAATTGTAGAATTTTTTAATTTCTGTTATTTTTAATTAAATAGAATGTTGAAAAGAGTTTATTCAAAACAGATAGTTATACAGATGTAAAATTAAGGCGTCAAATGAAAAAATGAAAATGTAATTTTGAATCTACTTCAGATTTATTACATCCTTTTATTACTGTATTGTCTTTTATTACAGTATGAAAATCCTAAGAATTTTAAGAAGTACGTTGGTGGTTATTCTTTTCAAAAATCGCACCAAATGTATCATTTATTAGATCCCTGAAACATTGTAAAATTTTAGGAAATTTCAAGCTGATTATTTTAAGGCAGTTTCTTTTTTAAGCACGAATTTTGCATTGGAAAATTTAAAATTTATTTGATTGTTTCAATTGTATAGTTGGTTTAATGATCACACAAATTTAATTTCGATATCTTATTAAAAATGGCAAATTGGATATTGGATAAGACCTAATAATATTGCAAGTCACACAAAATTTTTCCTAATCAGTGGTTATTACTTAACTGATTAATAACATATATATATACCCACATACCCTTTTACATAGTATATTTTCTGTTAAACGTAAACTACAAAAAAAAAATTTTTTTTAATTTAGAGAGTAAATATGTTTAATTCATTTTTTACAATTTAATAAACTACTTAAAATTTTATTAAGCAACATATTTGATTTTTATTGTTGATTCTTTGACAATGATGATAATCTTATAAGACTTGCTTCTCCTTGAAATACAATATTATTAGCTTGCTTAATGTGGTACACCGTTTTCATTATTTTACGATTATCTATTAGTTTAACATTTAATTCTATATCCTGATTGATTCTACATTTGCGTGGAAATTTAAATTTTTGTGATACAACAATACTTCCAGGACCTGGAATTTTAGAACCCATAATCCCAGAAATTAAACTATTTAAAAACGCTCCGTGAACATAACGTTCTTCTTCTGGGATGTCCTCAGAATGAATGATGTTCGAGTCTCCACAAAGAGATGAAAAAGAATTTAGATCTTCTTGAGTTATTCTACGAGTGACAGTAATTTCAGGAACAGAAAGGTTTTGTGTTGAAAGTTTTCGTAAATCATATTTAACATTATTCAGCAATTTATTTACTTTAAACATATGTTTTTAAATTTTAAAATAATTTTAAACGTGGATATCCTATGCTGCTTCACGTTTGTTTCTACCTTATCATTATAATGCCCAAAATCAAATAAAACCAACTAAGGTCGTACCGTAATTGTAAATCACAATAATAAAACTCAATTTCATAAAACATAAACATAACTTGACAGCAGTGATAAAGAATGGTGTGGCCATATGATATTAAAAATCGCCTTACAATATTTATTATATAGCAGGGATGCGAAGAGTTTTTCATTTGTAAGTTTTTCCTTGCATTTCAAACTGTTGACATACTAGCTTATATTTTCACTGAAAAGTTTTTCTTATTAAATTTACATTCTGAAAGACTACTTTAATAAAAAACGAAAACTAAAACCATCTCATCATGCCCATAGAATTATTAAATTAATTGATTGACAATAGGTGCTATTATTCCATTTCTCTCTAATGAGATTTCGAGTTTATACATTTCCGGCAAAACTATTATTTACCTGTTTTATTTTTTGTGATAAAAAAATTGACGGTTACTTCATAACGAAACACCATTTAACCCATTTGATTTTAATGGATGGTGTTTTTGTGAGAAGTATTGTTAACATATTTTGTGTTGATATTTTTGACATTTTACAAACATTTGTTCCATATGATTTTATGTCTACGGGAGATGTAGCACCGAAATCAATGAGTTTGAAACTCATTAAACAAAATATTTTTGGTTAAAAAAAAACTGCAACATTTTTCTAGTCGTTTGTTTTTACTATGGTTTTTCGATTAATTCTTAGAAAACAGAAAAAATTGGATGAAGAAGATTCAACAGATAAGTAAATGCAATAGTAGAGGAACACGTGATATTCCTTTTCTTAGAACTTTTTATTTATTTCCATTAATTTATTTATTGGTTTTTAAAGAAGAGTGTCGATACAAAGTTCAGATACAAAATTTGATCGTATGTGTATTTAATAAACCCTTCATTACCTTTTTAATTACTAAGCTGTTACCTCTTAATGTTCTGACAAAATAGATTTGCACATGCTTTCAAAAAAGTCTTAGAAACAATACCAAAAAATTCTGACATCATTTAAATATCAAAAGGAAAGATATAATAATTATTATTTTTTAATTTATTTTTGGTATATTTATCAAATATGATTTCGAAAATATTTTATATATTTTTTTTTTCGAATATTTAAAACTAATTCCAAAACTTTATTACTTCAATTTACTATTGTTTTAAATTTCAAATTTATTATCTACTTCACTTTGTGTATAGAAATTTTAATTTTTTAAAATATATTTTTGATTTTTTTTTAATTTTAAAAATTTTTAAATTTTAAAGACACGCAATTTTTAGTTTTGCAATTGTTTGATTTTTTATTTCTATCATATAGGTTTATATAGAAGTGCGCACACATGAAAATGTATGTAATCACTTGCAATTAAGCGATCAAACAATTTGTAATTAAAAAAAAAATTAATTGACGCAATAAATTGACTGCTTAGTCCTATAAATTAAATTTCTTAGATTAAATAAAGTGACGGCCATTGATTTATACAACTTCTTATTTAAATAATATTATGTATTTATTTCATAAATTTTATTGTGCTGTAATATTTTAAATTTACAAATTGTGTCATATTTGTAATAAAATGTGTCATTTTGTTTTATGTAATAATGTACATATATCAAGAAATGACACATACGGCAGCACTGTTTAAATTTTAAAAATTTTTTATCTGACATTTTATTTTATGTTTCCTTCATTTTTATTTGACAGTTTTTTTGTAAATGAGTGCGTGGTTAGTTACTGTGTAGCGCATTAATTTTGTTTTTATTTTTATTATTTTGTTATTTTAAAATAAAATAAAAATTATAATGTTTTTCTTTAAATAAAAAAATCGGGTTCTGTGAAATAAATTTGGTGCAAAATTATTACAACAAAATGTTAAATATTATATAAAAAAATTACAAGAGAAAATAGTTTTAATATAAAAAAAAAAGAAAATGTTTAATGAAATAAGAATTAGTTGAGTTGCGATTTAAAGGAATTTAATAAAGAATTTTAAGTTTTTCTTTATTTCTTTTTTTTTGTTTTTTTCTTTTTATTTTTTAATTTTCAATTGTAAATGGCCTTAATTTTAAAATTGTACGAGATTTGAATATGAAATAAGTTTTTTTTTCGAAATTTCTAAGGAAACAGAAAAAATATTTGGCAGTCCAGTCAGTCACACTAACATTCTTATATTTTAATTATATTTTTTTAAATAACAAAGAAATAATATAAGTTGTAGGAAACATAAGCAGTACCTACTTATATTTTAATAATTGAGTAATTAAAATAGTACAGGAAATTTATATTCTGTTTATAAAAAAAAAAAATGTTTGAAATATCGTAGGTAATCCAAAAACGAAAAAATTAAATGAAAAATAATTAATGAATTAATAAAATTTAAATAAAAAAATACTTATAACTTACCTCTACCTAATTATAAAATTTAATATTATATTTTAAATGTGAAATCTCTTCTTAAAAAAGTTAAGTATTAAATAAAAGAAAAATACTTATAAAATAAAACTGGATTCGAATGGAACTTTTTCTTTTTCATTTTATTTATAAAACTATAAAAATATCTATAGATTTGTTCTTAGTTATCATAATATATATGTATTTACATGCTATAGAATATAAAATCATATATAATTATATATTTACATATATACTTGCATATAATATAAAAGATATAATATTATCCTCGTCTGAGTGTTCTTTGTGCATTTTACCATTATTAAGTTATGAAAAAAAATGGAAATGTTTCATTTTTTGATTGCTATTGTTTTAGAAATTGGAATTAGTCATTTGGATTATGTTAACGCTCATAGAATCATTAAAGGTTTGTATATACTATCAATATATTTTTGTTTAACAATATAAATTTTGTGAAAAAAGAAAAAGAGTTTGTAGATATCTGAGAATTTAATAAACTTTTATAGACAGGTAGATAGATAGGTACTCGTACCTATATGTATATATACATAAAGATGTACTTACAAGTGTGTACATTATTACCTCACTATATTTTCTTAAAGTATTTTTTGTTTTGACAATAAATTTATATTGTTACAAATATCATTTACCTACCTGTCTAAGTTAACTACCTTTTTTTTTTCTAGGTTAAAAAAATGTAGACAATTGGCCTCTTGTAATTCACCTGTAAAAATTTTTCTTGAATAAAACAAAAAAATTCTTGAATAATTTTTATGTAAAAAATATTCTATTGCATTTCACTATCCTATTTGTTTTATATATAAAAATAATTTAAAAGAATAGATTGCCATTAAATGCATCAGTACCATAAGAAATGCTATTGTATAATTTAATTAATAAAAATTTACAACCATAACAAAATGTTTAGTTGGATAGGCACCTATCAACCTACCTTCTTAGATATAGTATATTTTGCATTCAAAAATAAGGTCTTTCTATAGAAAATATGGGTATATAAGTTTTTCTATTATACAGGGAATATCTTATGTCATTTTTTTTATTTATAATGGTTAAGTATGTATGTATATAAGTAGCTATTGCTTCTCTTTGTACATAATGTAATATACTTTTTATATATACAATCCCATTTTATATAGATTAACATACTTAACTAAGTATATAGCTAAATTTGATTTGCATGTTAATTCTGTATAGAATGGAAAGGAAAGCAAAATGTTTGTATAGCAAGTTCTCATACCTACTTAGCTATAATACTCGTATTATGTAGTTTATAGTGTTTTTACCCTTTTCGAATTCCTTGGTGATCTGGATATTAACATTAGTCATCCATTTATATTTTTTTTTTCTTTTTGTATTCATAATTAAAAAGGAATTGCGAAAAAAAGGAGCGTTTTCATTATAAAACTTAAAATTATAATTTTAGATTGAAAAATTATAATTAAAATTTTTTAATATTAAAATTATTTTTTAATAAAATATTTGTGCATACAAAACAAAATATTATTCATCAAAATTTAACAGGAAATACTACTTATATTATATATTCGATATCTTAGTCATTTATACTACAAAAATTTGAAATAACTAAATAAAATATTGTAGTAGCAATAATACTTAAATTATTAGTATTTATAATTATAAGTAGATATACACTGGGAAAGTGAATCATCATAATTTGTAATTAAAATATTCAAAATATGATTTATCTGTTCAATGTCTACGTTGTTTTCACTGTATGTACACACGCTACAATTTATTAAGGAAGGAATTACTTAGTTATACTTAGAAGAAAAAAAAAAGAAAATAAAACAAAAGAAAAGCTCTTTTTACTAAAAGATGAGTAATCCAACCAGGTTTCAACTGAATCAGATCAAAAACTTAAAAAAAAAAAACAAGAAATAAACTTTTCGTATTTTTTTGTTTTTATTTCCAAAAATACTTGATTATAGTTAAAAGAAATGTATATATATATTTGTATAAGTATATTATTAGTATATTAACTGCTTTCGTGAATACCTACGTAGGTATTATTTACCCACAGTCTAAAGTTTTATATCACTTTGTTTTTATATTCAAAATATTATTTGTTGGCGTTTTTGTTTCTCCCTATTTTATATATATATATACATATATTTAAAGTGGGTATACCATCGTTAAGCCACTTATGTTGATTCACACCTATTTGAGGTATAATGATAAGCAATATTCAATATAAAAAGAATGCTTAATTAAAATAATTTCATAGAATCTATTAATTTTCAATAACATGAGTACTTACTTATTCATAATAAATTTGTGTTGTAATTTCATTTGCTTATTATAAATATTAGAGGTGATCTAGAATAAAGTGTATAGGTTGAAAAAAAAATTTATTTAAAATTGAAGTACTTACTTAAATGTTATTTGATTACTGAATGAATTTTTTAATTGAAAAAATTAATAAATTAAATTCAATTTTCTTGTATTTATTTAATAAGTATTTTTATATGAAATAGAAAGTAATCATAAAATTCATTGAGAAATTGTCAAATATCATTGAAATTTTTTATTTGGTAATTTAAGAAAAATATCACTTCTAAAAGTAACAATAAGTACTCATGGTGTTATAGAACCATTTGAAAATTTTATTAAAAAATTAATTATTTTTGAAATGCTTACATATATGAAATGCTTTGCTAAATTTGCAACAACTAGAGTACGATTAATGTTATTTTTCTCTCTCCCTGGGTACTAGATTGTAAAAAAAAAATTTTTGTTTTTAAATTTTAAACAATCTAGCTTCTAAACTTTATTATTTTTGCTCATAAATTCTGTATCGTAAAATATTATCGTAAATTATAGAGTATTATATTTTGCATTATAATGAAACGAATTTGAAATTTAAATTTTCAAAATCTTATGTTCAGACAATCGCATACGATTTTAACAATTGACAAATTATCTTAAAACTAATAATAGTTTCTTTTACAATTATAATATATACAAGTAAACTGTGAAAGTAAAATGAATTAATTTACCATGTCTACTTATAACTTTATCAAAATTATCAGATAATTTTTGAAGCCCTACTCTGCTTTTTCCTATGCATTCAAAACTATTTTTAAACATTGTAGAATTAAATGCTTTATCAACATTTCTGCATAAACAACATGGAAGGCGATACAATATGGAAGACTAAGTTGACTCACTTTTAATAAGTAATAAGTATGGAAGTTATCATTTATTAATTATTTCGGTTTTCTAGTTTCTAATCGATAGTTATTTTGAATTTTCTTCTTTAAAAAAACTTCAAAAACGTATTAATCTAAAAGCAACAAAGAAAATTGGATTGAAAATGTAATGGAAATTACAATAATTTGACATACTTAATTGAAATTTGTCAACTTTTGCCCAACACCAAGTGCCACTAAACATTTTATTGAAGATAAAATTTCTATAATTAATTCCACTTATATCTAAATTAATTGATTTATTAAGTAGTGTATCTTACAATTTTAACAGAAATTTACAAGATCTTTAAAAATCAAACTTTCCTTACTCATATATAATTATATATTATGTATGCACATATGTACGTAGTTGAATATCGATTTTCAAATTTATTTTTATAATCAAAAATCAAAACTATCATAATTATTAAATTACAAAACACATATTAAATTTTTATACTTACTTACATAAAATTGAATTTATTTTAATGTGTGCATATGGGTATAATTTAAAAATTTGTAAAATAGATCTGTAAATGACATAACGATGACGGCTCAGAAATAAAAGCTTTGTATTTTTTTAACAATTAAATAATTTTATTTGGTACACTTACTTACACAGGAATATATACAATATTTCTTACTTATAGTGAATTATACATTTCTGTGGTAAGAAAGCAAAAATCCCTAAACTGTTTAAATTTATAATCCAAAACATTTGATTTAATTCGAAATGTTGGCTTAATTCGAACTAAGTTGGTTAACTAAAATTTAGAAAAACACAATTATATAATTATTATTTATTTCTTATACACAATTATTTATTGAAGTAAGTAAGTATACTTGCTTACTTATAATACTTATTGGAAATTTAACAAAATTAGGTAAAAATTTTTAGGTTTAAAATTTTAATTTTAAAATACATACATTAGCCGAGATTCTCCCAACTCGAAGTTGTTATTAACTATTCCAAGTCTATAGAAAGTGCTATTTTGCTATTGATTTACTAGAAACTAATTACTATGATTTAAGCAATTTCGTCTTATTGCCACAGATTTAATAATAATAAAAGAAGATATTAATAATGAGTGTCGTAGTAAATTTAAATTGTAAGTAGATTTTACGCTTAGATCTTGTATAATGTAATTAATTGTTTTTTTTTTGTAATTTTCAATTAAATTCATCTCAATTTTAAAATCTTCAAACCACACTAATCTTTAATTCAATTAAAGTATGTACTTATTATAGAATGTTCAATTTGTTTTACATCACTTAGATTCTGCTTTATATATATGTACGAATGTATCTTCGAGGGTACACAGAATATGCAAATAAGTAAGAGAAATAAAAACTAAAAAAAAGTTTTAAATTTTATTTTTATAGTACTTGCCTACTCTATTTTATATATGAGTATTGCGTTACAGTAAAAGTAGTCTGACTAGTTTCCGTTTTTTACTCTATATATTTATTGCGTATGGGTACATAAATTTGCCGTTTATAATACTAAAAAATTACAGTTTGAAATGTAAATGTATATATACATAATATTTAACTATCTATATATATGTATGTGAATATGTTCTAAATTAGCGTTAAATCTTGAGTCAATTTAGATGTGTCTGTCCCAGTTAATCAAGAAGGACCAAATTTTTACAATATGCTTGAAATTTAACAGTAAATGCCTGAATTTTTCTTAATTTATGTGCAACTGTTACCGTAATTGCCATGAAAGACAGAATACTTATATGAAAAGAATACTTACTTTCGGTCAGTCTAAAATATTTCAGAAATTATTCAAACTACAATATCGAACTTTCTTATAAGTAAGTAATTATGTGTAATGCGAAATCTATAAGACTATGCGTAAATAAATAAAGCAACAAACCCTACCAATTTTTTTTTTTTGAAAAATTAGGTAATATTAAGTGAATAATTATTGCGGCTGTAATAAAACTAATATTTTCGAATATATTTGGATTAATAATAAAATTTTATTTAAATAGATTTAGGAATTTTGTCCCCACTATCGAAAACTTTAATCGAAATTGTTTAAGTTTCAACGTTAAGTTGACAGCCACTCAAGAAAGTTAAAAGTTCAGCTTAAAAAAGCTTAAGCTAATTTAACATAAAGTGAACCGTTTCATTAACTAATATTTTAGAAAACAGCATTCGGGCT